TTGTTGTTGTTATGTGCCATCGAGTCGTTTGCGACTCATAGCGACCCTATGTACAACAGCCCTAACCCTGCTCTATCCTGTGCCAATCTCATTGCCTCTGACACACACATCCCGATTACCCCAGTCACTGAATCAATCTACCTCATAGAGGGTCTTCCCCTCCTGCGCTGTCCCTCCACTCTGCCCAGCATGATGTCCCTCTCCAAGGACCGGTCCCTCCTTACAACATGTCCAAAGTATGTCAGGCGAAGCCCCAGAATCCTTGCCTCCAAGGAGCAGCCTGGTTTAACCCTCTCTAGGATAAATCTGTTTGTTTTCCTAGCAGTCCATGGTACATTCAATACTCTTCTCCAGCACCACAGCTCAAAGGCATCAATTCTCCTTCTATCCTCCCTAGTCATTGTCCAACTCTTTGATGCATAACAAGTGATTGCAAAAACCATGGCCTGTATCAGGTGCACCTTAGTCTCCAGAGAGACACCATTGCTCTTGAGTACTTTAGAGAGGTCCCTAACAGCAGACTTTCCCATCACAATACGTTTTTTTATTTCCTGGCTGCTGGTGCCAAGAGTGTTGACCGTGGAGCCGAGCAAACTGAAGCTGTGAACAATCTCAGTCTCTTCACCATCCATCCTGATGCTACCGATTGGTCCAGTGGTGAGAATCTTTGTCTTCTTGACATTGAGCCTCAGTCCATGACCCTCTGCAGTAAGTGCATGAGGTCCTCCTCAGTTTCAGCGAGCAGGATTGTGTCATCTGCATAACGCAGATTGTTGATAGATCGTCCACCAATCATAACGCCACGCTTCTCCTCATTGAGCCCAGCCTCTCGGATAATCTGCTCTGCATACAGGTTGATAAGGTAGTCTTTCCAATTATTTGGTATGCGTCGGAGAGCTGAATAATGAATAAGGATGACAGAAAAAGAATTGATGCCTTTGAGTTGTGGTATTGGAGAAGAGCACTGAACATCCCATGGATGGCCAAGAGAATGAAGATATGTTTTAAAGAGGGTGAGGCTTTGTCTCACATACATTGGGTATGTTGCTAGGAGGTATTATTCATTGGAGAAGGATATGTGGCTAGGAAGGGTGGAGGGTCAGAGAAGTAGAGGAAGACCCTCAATCAAATGGACTGACATGGTGACTGCCACAGTGGGGTCCTGTGTGTCAGGAAGTATGAGGATGGCGCAGAACAGGACTGGGTTAAGGTCCTTTGTTCATGGGGTCACTATGAATCGTGCTCAACTCGACGGCACCTAACAACAAGAAGTCCAAAGGGCTCTGGTGGCCTAATGGCAAGCAGCTGTGCTGCAATCCCAAAGGCACATGTTTCAAGGCCACCAACTGCTCTGCGAGAGAAAGATGGGCAATCTCCTTCATGTGATCAATGACCTCTGAAAACCCTTTGGAGGGTCAGCTATGGGTCAGTTCTGAGTCTACAGTACACAACAACAACAAACTACAGTCCAAAGGGAGGGAGCTCGGGTAGCCTAGTGTCAAAAAGCTTCACTGTGATCCCAAAGGCATGAGGTTTGAATCTACCAGCTGCTCCACAGGAAGATGGGCAATCTCCTCCTGTGTGTGATTAATTGCCTCTGACAACCCACTGCAGGGTCAGCTATGGATCAGTTTTGACTACACAACAAGAACAGTGTGTTGAACTGCCAGGAAAAGGCTGTTTCCAGATGTTCAAATCTCAAGCAGCTTCTCTGGAGAAAGATGAGCAGTCTCCTCCTGTTATGATTTACAGCCTCAGACACTTAATGGAGGGTTGGTTGCTATGAGTCAGAACCTACTTGATGGATGGCAGGGAAGGGGCAGCGATGAGCTAGGAGCTGTGGTGGCACAGTGATTATATGTTTGAATGCTAACCAAAAGGTAGGCAGTTCAAACCCACCAGCCCCTCTGTGGGAGAAGGATGTGACAGTCTGCTTCTATGGCAACTGTAGCCTAGGAAATCCTCTGGGACAGCTCTACTCTGTCCTATAGGGTTTCTGTGAGATGGTTAATGGGTTTGGTTTTTTGAGATGTGAGCCTGGGAAACCTCCTTTGGCTTCAGCCAGAATCCAGGCTAAGCCAGTCAGGCAACGTGACTTCCCAGCACAAAAAAAAACAAACCCAGAACTTTACAGAGAAGTAGCTGATGGGAAGTCCTAGGTCCTTGATGGAGTGGCAGGATGGCAGGCATATACACTTGGGAGACAAGAATGTTGTTGTGGTTGTTAGGTGCTATCGAATCAAGTATGACTCATAGCAACCCTATGAACAATAGGTCTGAAGAACCCTCTCCTATTCTGTGCCATGCTCAAAATCTAAGCTGCTCAAGTGTTTTTTACTGCAGTCACTGTGTCGTTCCACCTGAGGGTCTTCCTCTCCTTTGCCATCCTTCCATCTTTCCAAGCATGATGTTCCTATCCAAAGAATAAGCTCTCCTAGAAACATGGCCAGAATATGTGAGACAAAACATCATCATCTTTGCCTCCAAGGAGCACTCTCACTGCACCATCCATGGGACATTCAGTGCTCTTCTCCAACACCACAGTTCAAAGGCACCAATTCTTCTTCTGTCATCCTTATTTATTGTCCAGCTCTAAGATGCATAGCAAGTGATCGGAAAGACTATGGCCTGAATCAGGCACTCCTTAGTTTTCAGACTGACATCATTACTCCTCAATAATTTGGAGAGGTCCCTGGCTGCAGACTTCTCCTCATCTCCTGACTGCTAGTACCAAATCTATTGATTGTGTGTCCAGGTAAGATGAAGTCATTGACAGTCACAATCTTTCCTCCATCTATCATGCCTATCGGTCCTATGGCAAGGATTTTTGTTTTCTTGATGTTGCGATGCAATCCATATTGAAGAAAATGACAAGACTAGCGGATAGAATGGGTGGCAAGAATAGGAGATGTTAAAGCACTTGTGTAGGGGAAAGCACTCCCTTGAATCCAAGGAAGATGACCATTCTTGAACCCACCAGCTGCTCTGTGAGAGACAGATGCCGCCCTTACAAGTTGCAGCCTCCGAAAACCTGCTGTGAGTCGGTTTTGACTCGACGGCAATCAGTGAGTGAGTGGAGGGAGCCCTGGCCATGTACTCCACACAGAGTTGTGCTGCTAATCCAGAGTGAGCCTCTCTGGAGGTTCGATTCCATCAGGGGCTCCATGGCAAAAATTTGGGCTATCTCCTCCCGTGTGATTGGCGGACTCCAGAAATCTAGGAGGGTCAGCTATGATTTGGTTCTGGCTAGATAGGAATGAGTTTGAGGGTTGTGTTTTGCTTGTTATGGTTTTGTCAGTGTTACTGTGGCCTATAGAGAGTTGTAGTGCAACACTAAAGGCTGCTCCTCTCTGGCAATTTGATTACATCAAGAGCTCTGAGAGAGAAAAATGGCGTCATGTCTTCTCTTCCTTGTGACTTACAATCTTTGAAAGCCAATGGAGGGTCAGATTCCTATTCAACAATGAGTTGAATTACATGTAAGGACCTGTGGTGGCAAAATGCTCACTGAGCGGTGCTGCTAATAAAAGTTAGGCAGTTCAGATCCACTAACTACTCTTAAGGAGAAAGATAGACAGTCTCCCGTGTGAAGATTTAAAGATTTACTCCTTTGGGAACCTCAGGGAGAGTCACTATCAGTCAGAACTGACAGAAACAGTGACAGTGTGGCATTTGGGTGGGTTGGGTTGGCTTGTTTTATTAGTGCTATTGGAAATAGAGTGAGAGAAGTAGAGGCAGCCGGGAAGGGATGCCAGACAAAGTGTCAGGACACTTCTGTCAAATCTTTTAAGGTTCATTTGCATTAACTGCCCCCTAATCCACCAGCTGCGCTGAGGGGGAAGGATGAGTGATCTCCTCTGTCATTTACAGCCTCTGAAAACCTGCTGGAGGGTCAGCCATGAGTGGGCTCCCAGTCAACAGCACACAACAATAAACCTGCCTTTAGGGAACTCTGGTGGTCTAATGGTAAGGCGCTTATGCTGCCACCCTAAAGGCTGGAGGTTCTAAAGCACCCGCTGCTCAGTGAGAGAAAGATAAACAATCTCATCTCATGTGATTTACAGTCTCTCAAAACCTAATGGAGGGTGAGCTATGAGTTGGTTCCAATTCAATGGCACACAACAACAACCACCACCTTTCTTTGGCAGTATCCCCTTCCACTCAGGGGGTGTTTAGTGTCTGTCCTGGAAGTGAGCAGCATGTTCGTCCGTCTGTCTATCCTCAAGCTTGCAGGCATCTGTCTTTTCTCCCCTAACTCCCATGCCTGAATGCTCCCTCACCGGGAAACTAGTCAAATCAGCAGAGCAAATCAACTGACTTGGAGCCCCAAGTTAGCTTTCTTTAATTTAGTGGTCTATTTGAAGTTTGGTGTCTTTGTCTAATCTGTGTAGCTGAGGGAGAGTGTCCCCTGGCTGCGGTGAATTAAACAGTCTCTGTAACTGCCCTACCTCCAGCCCTCATTTACTAAAGTCTTCCTAACCTGAAAAAGATGTAAAAAAGGCAGCAGGGAATGCATGTCAGTCAGCCCCAGCCCCAGCCCCAGCGCCAAGTGATAATAAGCCCTCCTCGCCAGGGCTGGTATCCTTCTGCCCTCACTGCTCCCTTTGCTTGGATGCGTGATGGTGTGATGCGATGTCGAAAGAACCTGGAGATTTGAATCTTGTTCCCTGGAGAACTCTTCGCAAGAAGACAGAAGACCAGAAGGAAAATAAAAATCACGGAGGAAATCTCAAGAAACAGCAGCTTTCCCAATTAATTTCCTAATTTCATATTAACCAGCCCCAAGAGGGCATAGCTCAGCTTATTCCTGCATTTTGATCCCAGCCTCTGGCTCTCAGGCTTCCTAAATGGGAAACTCAGAAATGAACTCAACCCACTGACTGCTCTTGGGTGTGTGTGTGTGTGTGTGTGTGTGTGTGTTCCACGCTCAAGTATCTGCTGTATTATTTTCCCAACCCCAAACCTCCCAAACCTCTCTGGTTTGCTGTTTCTCTTTCTAGGACCTGAAACCTCTCTACGCTAACCGGTGCCACTATGTCCCCAAGACATCCCAGAAGGAAGCTGAGGAGGTGAGCCAGAATGAGGCTGCCTATCTTGCCTCCTGGATTAGTCTTCTGTACTACTTGAAACCACCACCCCCGCTTTTTTCCCCCTCTCCCCACTCGTAGCTGATTTACTCAGGGGTCAGAGCACAGTGCTGATGAGGTCACAGGCAGAGGTTGCAGCCTCCTGAGGCCTGATCCCATTTACTGTCCTCTGTGGCCACAAGTTGACCCTCTGATCCCAGCTGGCAGCCTCCCAGTGTGTGGCTTTGATCCCAAGAGGGATAGCTGAGAGTACAGAAACAGGAAAACTGTCCACTGCCACCTCTGGGGATGAAGGCTCAGTTGCCTTGACTTGGTGTCCTGAGGGAAAAACAGAGAACACCCACCATCACCACCAAGGCCCTAGACCTGGCCTGAGGAGACAAGGCTTGAGTCTAACATGTGGGAGGGTTCTGGAGGGTGAACAAAGAGAATTGAGAAGCCTAGGAAATTTAGAGGGAGCTTTGGTGGCCTAGTGGTAAGGAGCTGTGTGGCCAACTTGAAGGCACACGGTTCAAATCCACCAGCTGCTCCGCAGGAGAAAGATGGGCAATCTTCTCCTGTGTGATTTACTGCCTCTGAAAACCTGCTGGATGGACAGCTATGAGATAGTTCTGATTTAACAGCACATAACAACAGCAGCAGCCCATTTTGAGGCACTGGAGAGACCGGAACTTTTGGGCTGAAGGCATGTTGGCCCCTGAAAGGACCTGTTCTAGTCAAGGTTGAACAGTACAGAGTCTCTTTTCAGTCCCATGTAGGACTCCTGGTGTTCCATGCTATCTTGGACAGAGTTGGAAGCAGTGGGCAGGGAGGCAAGGCCTGGCTCCTGGCCCTTAGCGGAAGGTTTTCATTCCAATACACAGTAATCCCTCCCCAACTGAGAGATCCCTTTATAGGCCACTCTACCACATGCTTCCAAGAGCCTCAACATTGAAAGGGAATCCTCTCAAGAACAGGGAGGAGGAGGAGGAGGAGGAGGA